GACCAAATTAAACTCTCAGGAAGTCATCTTTTAAAATCATATATATACTGTATAAATCTGATTTTTTTTTTTTTTTTTTTACGGATGCATCTCAGCCCATAAAATTTTTTACACGAAGTGATTTTGCCTGTTGCGCAATCCTATCAGTTGAAATAACAGTAAAGCACCTTTGAGTCACAAGAAAGTTCAACGACTCTATTGAATTTTTTGACTAAGAATCAGTAATCAACCAAAGAAATGGGACAAAAACTACACACGAGCAGCAAGGATAATAATATCAGTTTTATTAGAAAATAAGAGCTTTTTCTCATGTAAGGTGCTTTCCTTCTAATGACAATTGTTTAATCAAAAAGGACCACTATCAATAACTCTGTCTAGCTCCAACTGGATGCAACAATTCTCACTCAGCTTATAAGAAGCTCTAGTAGCAGCCTGACATTTAGCAATTGCAACCTCCCAGTTTGGAAATATACTTGGTCAAAGTAATTTGATATACTAGTGAAATGAGACAAACAACTAAAAGCATGTATAATCTTGTCTCATACATTTTAGAAAAAATTAAGATTTTTTTTGCCTTTCATTATAGTACAGGACTAACATGCAATTTGCCCATAACAATACACGACCCCAGGTTAATGCAGAATTAACAAAAACTCAAATCTGGGTTATAAAGCTAAAACCAAATAAAGCTTTACCTTCTCTTTCTCTCTGTTGTTGTTCTTGTTGGTCTCAATATTAACCTTTCTTTTCTCATAAAAAGCCTGCTTGTACTCTTCACCTTCTAGAATAATTTGGTTCCTTATCTCCTTTTCCCTCTTCTCCTTCTCCTCAAGTCGAATAGCATTCAACCTATATATCAGAAAGAATATAGTTGATCAGTCCAACAGATCTGATTGACATTCAATCAAATTTTCTAACAAAACATTCATGCTAATTTTGGAAGAGAGAAGGAAGTGCTTAATATGATTCAAGACCAGTTTTCTTGAAGAAAAAAAGGGGAGACATAGAGAGGGAGGGAATTCCGTCCCTAATATTCTTGACAGTTCAGTAGAATTGTTTCAAAACACAACTGTTCACACACTGCTTATTCGTTCAGCTCAAGTATGCTTGATGGGAACTGGGAACTCATTTGTTTAATTTGATGGCTGAGCTTCAACATCAAATAACATTCATAGGCTTGACAGAGGCTACGCTTGCTTTAGGCTCAGCAACAAATTAAATATTAGATACTTTTACTTTTTCAGGAATAGCAATAGAGATTCATTACATTATATCTTCTTAAATTGCTCTTTATGTCCAGCAGATTATAAGGTTCATGATATTTGCATTACATGGTTTCTTGTATAAAAGCTCAAGCTCAAAAATCAAGTTCAAGCTTTCCACATTAGTCAAACATCAAATTTCCTAAATGAGCAGAGCTCGAGGGCAACTATCAGTCAAGATCTGTCAAAAGTTGACTTGAGAAATTTCGCAACTAGGTTCTTTCTTAAAAGGGAAAAGATAACCTATAAGAAGGCTTCATTCAAGATTTTTTAGAATCCAACAGTCTAAGCATATTCTGGTCAACTCAAGGATCACGCTCTGAGTTCAAATTCTAGCCTCGATGTGTCTAAATTTAAGATACATAACCTATAAACTTTATGCAAATTATAGAGCTTATTCTTGCATTTAAGAAAGAGGGGGGGGGAGGCAATAATGGCATGCAATCAACAAGCATGATTGTACATGAACCCTTCTTAAGATTTTTTATGATTTATTGATCCAATTCTACCATCTCAACCACACAAAATGTTATTAGATACATAACAGTGTAGCCAAATTGTTATGTCAAGGATCTCGATCTGTAGGTACTTAATTAAATCATCTGAAACCAATAGAAAGCAAATTAATTCTTGATTCACTTGAACAAGAACCAAAATATACCAACGAAACCAAAAAAAAAAATTTCCCCCTTTTTAATTTGAATTGCAACAAGCTATTCCATGTCAAATCATGCAGCAAGGCTCGTAGTAACCGGGAAAGTCCCTAAAATTCCACAAGGGTGCCTGAAAAGTGGATGTGTGGTTTCCTGAACTTGTACATCTAACAAACTCGATCACCAGAGATTCATTTCCTCAAAGCTCAAATCAAATAAACTACCCCCTCCCTCCTCCTCCTCCCCCCCCAAAAAAAAAAAAAACACCCAAAAATAGGACAACAACAAAAAGCGACAAACACTCACATTTTATCATGATCACAAACTACCATGCAAATTCTACTACCAATCAGTTATGAGCAACTAGTTCAAATTGTCATAATCTAAACCAAAGATCTGAACTTGGGCTCCAGATTAGTAAAACTAAAAATAGTAAAAGACCAAAATAACAAAGATCTATAACAGCAATAAATATTTCACTAACAGAAATGCGTAATATTATCTCAAGAAAGGAAAAGCTTTGTCAAAAACGAACAAAAACAAAAATCTGACCTCCGCCATTCCCGGAGAGCAAAGCCTTCTTCTTGCATTTCAGTAGGCGGTGGCAGCACAGGTCCATCGGATCTAAAAATCCCCTCCGTATCCTCCCCGAGATCATAAGGCCTCCCATTTCCATTCGGAATTGGAGCCCCCGGCCCCTCAAACGGTGCAGCTTCCTGATCCGCCTCGAATCCGAACGGATCCGAACTGTTGACAGAGTGGGAGAGTGTTCCACCGTCACTTCCTCTTCTTCGTATCCAGCTGGAAATCCTCCCCCGCCGCCGCTTTGGTACGGCGGAGTATCGGCGGAGGAAAACGCCGTGTAAGAGTCGTACCCACCGTAACCTCCGTCTTCGAACTGACGTGTCGTCGCCTGCTCCTCACCGTCGATGCTAAATGTATCAAAAGAAGCCATCTTCTTTTCTTCTTACTGCTTTGTTTCTGTTCCTATATCTCTCTCTGGAAATTTCTGTGTTATGGAGACACACACCTATTTGTATGTGTGTCTCATTAATTGGTATAAGAGGAGTTTATATAGTGGATTCTTTTTTTCAATTTAATACTGTGACTATATACTATTGATTAGTGATTAGTGATTGCTGCTTTAAAAAGAAGCAATGAGATTGATGGATGGTGAGGGGTCTCTCTCTGTCAACCTCCTCCCACTTGAGAATATTATTTTCATTATTATTACTTTTAAAATAATTTTTATAGTGGTAGTATTTACGGTATGTATTTTGTTTCTGACATTCAAATTTTAGAGTTTATTTCTCTCTATTTTTTTTTCTTGGTAGAGTAATTGGGATTTTTTTTGTCTTGATAAATTTCGATGCAAACTGTTTTCTTGCCTTTTTTTTTTTTGATTTCAAAAGATACTTATTAAATCTAGTGTTTCATATAAGAATGGATTCCTCGTTATTCAAAATTCGAAAATATGTGCAACACATTCACAAAAACATTTAAGAATAAAAAGGGTTTAACAAGATTGGGATTTGGAAGTAGAATGTTATTTTGTTTGTACACAGAAATAAATGATTTTTCTTTAAGATAGTTGTAGTGGGATTTCATTCTTATTGAAAATTTTGGTTTTAAAATTTTTTGTTTTTTAGTGATGATTTTAAGTGATTGATAATGAAGTCGTCTGTAGTTCATTAAGTTCAGTTAAACGGTAATAATACAGAGATTACTACAAAAGATTTGCAAAGAATGAAATAGAACGAAACTTCTGTTTCATTTCATTTGGGAGTGAAGCAGAAGATCTGTTAAAGGAGACAAATCTAGGAAAAGTTGTCTGGTGTTTCCTAAATAGTTGGGATAAGATTTTGTTTATATTATGAGGTCCGAATTTAATGTTGAGAGAATTTTGCGTCCTTGTCGTCCTAATTTGTCAAGATATTTGACAGTTTTCCCTAGAGAATATTTGACAGAATACCAGCCTACCACGACAAACCATCGTATGTTCATATACAAAGTTTTGCGAAACATCACATACACCAAGTTTAGAGAAATTGATATGCGTCCTTCCCGCGCGATGATTCTCAAATAAGTCCTTATATAAACATGTTTTGAGAAATTTTTGTTTTGCGAGCCTACCTGAATGATTTTTGCGCAAACAGCTATGCGTTTTCTGCTTTTTGCTCGACCAAAAAACACGCGAGTCCATTAAAAATGTTTTGATATTGTTGAAATTATAGGAGTAGTGTATTCTCTCAATTTTCATTTATCCATCATGCGAGCTTTCATTTACCTCCAATTTCTTTTGTTTTTTCGTTCTTTTCATATATTCTGTGGTCTACACAGTTGCTGAGCTTCAACAGTTATCCCCCTTTCCCATTGTTGTCAATGCGCTTGGACGATAGCAGTAATTTAACTAATTAAACAAGGAAACATGAAACACAATGCCGAAAAAGCCAATTTATCATTGGGCTGGGGTGGATTGGCCAAGTGAAATGGAATGTATCATCCAGATCAGTGACCCTGCACAACATCAACATCAACATCAACATCAACAAGAAAGAGCTCCTAAAACTGAACAAAACTTTCACTTTCATCTTTCATCCAGAAAGTGAAATAGGAGCCAGACCATTGAACCAATGTACTGTTAGCATTCAGTGAATCCTCTCCAAAATCCACGTTCTACACCCGATGAAAGCGTTCCATATTCCCGGTATAATTATACAACCACCTCGAACACAAATTCGAGGGACACAGCTCTACCACATTCATGGCTCATGGCTGCATTCAATGTCAGAAAAGAAGATATACACAGTGCCCGTCTCGTTTTCCTTCCCAATTGGTTTGTGAGGGCCTTTTGCACCCTCGCGCAACAAACTCCTACGGTACCGTAGTCCACGAACGTCCTGCAACATGTACAATTTTGAACGGCAGCAATATGGCAAAGCATTTCCCTTGTCTTCAAAAACTTGCAACTATATCAGCAGCCTGTAAAACTGATCTAAAACAGTTGGTTGGAACATGACCTAATCATTGCTCCCAAATTCGCAGCCTGTAAAACTGATCTAAAACAGTTGGTTGGAACATGACCTAATCATTGCTCCAAATTCTCTGGTGTCACCGCATAAGCTACAAGTCTCTCTGCAGATGCTATACTGCCAAGGTGCAATTAGGACATGAAGAATTACGGTACGGGAGAAGCATTCTTTGGATATCTTGCAGAAGATGGCATCCGCTGCAGAACCCTGGAAAACTCCGGTTTCAATCTTTTGCTTGACATCCCCTGCCATGGTCTGATGAAAAAGCAGTTAGTAAACATAAAGCAAGTGGAAGTAGCCTAGGAAAGCTGAGAAAACACCTGCAGCAGCATCATAAACAAGCATGTAATTATGCTATCAAGGTTGTTGACAGTTTCGTAGAATTTCATCTACCTAAAGCACGCGAAATAGTCCACTTTATTGACAAGAAAACAAGACAATCTAATGTAACAACAATGTGATGGCAAAACAACTCACCTGGGAGAGCCCTGACGCTTGTGACCATATGAACCAAGCATTGATTTCAAGGTTCCAAGGGCCTTTTCAGCAGCCTAGACAAGAAAACTCAGTTCAACATTTCATGCAGAATGAGTATAAACTTCCGACATTTCAGCCGGGCACAAAGGTTCCACTTAGAATGTTTGAGGAGGAGAAGAAATTTAGAAACAAATCTACATGGTACCTGTGATTTTGCTTCATCCCAGTTTATCCCAATTCCCTTTCCTAACACCTGTCCATCTATTTCAACCTAGAGCATGATCAACAGCACAGATTAAACAAAGTAAACAGGGATAAGAGAAAAGATTATCTCAATCCTATAGGTGCATCAGCATGTCCAAGCAATTAAATCCAGACAAAAAGGAAGACATTCGAACACACGATGGAGCAAAAGTAGTTAGATATGTACATCCAGTGCAAAGAAGAGCACAATATCTGCTTAAGACCTCAAATATGTATTTAGGATCACGAAAAAGTCCAACAACCAACGAGCATAAATCTAGAGGTATCTCATAAGCTTTGCAATGTAGATGAAAGACCCTACACATGTGAAGTTACCAATCATTTGTAAGCATCCTTTTTTTGACATATTCGTCCTGTATAAACATAAAGCCAAATGCTTTCGTTTTGCACAAGAAGAATTAGAAAAACAGGGAAGCAGGTTCATGTAAGAAAATGACACAAAAACCAACTACTAATTGAGAGGAAAACATTCACCTGTGCATACACTTCATTTTTTTGGCCAGGATTAGCTGAAAGCTGAGGCTGAGTTTGGAAAGCTAAGCCAAGGCCCTCCATTGAACACTTAAGAATTAAAGAGAAATCATAAGTATACAAGTGGAAGAATAATCCCAGAAAAGGAATCACAGCAGCTCCTAGAATCTTACCAGCTCTTTAAGGGCAGCAATTGGACCCACAGGTCTCTTGGACGCCTCCAATCTCGAATCCAGCACCCTAGGAGGCATGGATGCAGTAGAAAATGACCCGGGCTCCTCCTTAGGCAATTGTTGATACCCCCAAGAACTAAAATCGTTGGCAAAACCATTGTTGGATGTATTTGGGAATCTACGCCATTCCCCAGGAACAGAGCTGGAATCAGGTTTGAGAGATGATATATACTTATCTGCAAAGGAGTCTCTACCAGTCAAACCACTCAGCAAGCAACAACAGGAACTTTAAGAAGGTGAAGTTATATCAAAGGTTCCCTTCCATCCCAGGCAAAACATACCAGAATTGATTGAGGTTTTCCCAGGGAAGCAAACAAAACTAGCAAAATAGACATCATCAAGACAGAGCCAGTCATAAATCACTTAAACATCAATAAGACAAAGCCAGACATCAATGTAGCTGGTATGTACAAGCATACGCTGAAATATCCATGAATCAACATGCTCATTCTTTTTTGTATTTCTCTTCATTTTCCTTAAAATTAGTTTACCCATCTCAAAAAAGACTAAAAGAATAACTAAAAGTGTGCTTTTTCACAAACAAACTTGAGGCAAGAAGCAAAATTTTTCAGGAATCAGCATCAGTGTCTCAGAAATATACAAAATGCCAGATATTAAACGTTCCAACTCAAAAACTAGAAATGAATGGAGTGCTAGCTTCTTGCATATGGTGGCTTACAAAGATTAAAATAGTACATTAAGAAAAAGAAATAGAAAAGTAAAAGTTTAAAGAATAAACTCTTTCAAAGGAAATGCATTGTAATCCCATAGTATCAATTAACTATTTGAAAAAGCTACCACAAGCTAAACCTCAATGAAAACAGGGAAAAACTTATTAAAGCAGCCTCAAGTGTGAACTAATCACAATGAATCCATAGCTGAATATCAAACTTGTCCCTTTGAAGAAAAAGAAGTTTTGAACTTATTTGTCAGAAAACCAGGAAAAACGGAAGGTCAAACTCCACAGTTCCTACTCTAAGAAGCGAGCTAAGAGTTCAACACATGGAAGCCACAGAACTGCATATGCCATTTCGTGTCTTGATGTATCACAAAATAATTCTAGAACATTCTATACCTGCCTTGCTTTACTTGCACGAGAATTAACACAAGATTTTCCAGTCTGTATTCAAATAAAAGATACATATATCTTCAGAAGATAGAACCCAAACAAAAGTATATCGAAATATACTCTCTCCTCTCTCTCTCTCTCTCTCTCTCTCTCTCTCTCTCTCTCCCCTCCCCCTCCCCTCCCCCCCCCCAACTCTTCCCATCCTTGGGCTAGCGGAATCATCACATCACAAGTCAATTATATTTGGATCAAAAGGTAAACTGCATACAAAACCTGAAAGCATTTTAAACCTCAATGTAAAGAACAACAAACATACCAGCCAAATTCATAAGTGAACTGTCAGCAGCATGACGCTGTGCTTCCCTTCTGGTCCTACCTAGCCCTTCACCAATTTTCTCTCCCGCAAACCAGACCTAAAGGGAATAAGAAACATGATGATCAAGGTCCAGCATGCACGTAGTAATCAAGATAACTTTGTAAACCAAATGTACAGCTTATTACAGAAACGTTGAGGCATTGTGAAAAAATGCATGCTTTTATGGCAAATCTGTCCAAAGGGTTTTATATTTCTTCATTTTTTGGAAGGAATGGTGGACTTTTTCAGATATATATTGATTACTCAAATACTATTTATTGAAACTAAGTCTTCATTCCCATGTTTGTTTTTGTATTAAATTTTGAGTGACTAATATTTTATCTGTTTGCTTTGCGGAAATGTGATATGAAAGAAAGAGACAAGGACACACAAACACACACACACACAGAGAATAACATAAATCAAAATATGTATATCAATCATTATATTTTCTCCTAATTAACAAGGTTAATGGTTAAAACTGATGTAATTGTTCAATCCATGAAGAATTTAAACAACCTCTGCACAGAATTGCAACTCCGAGCTTGAAACCAATGCTTGCTTGAACTCCACCTGTGAGCAAACAAGCCAGGCATGAGAATTCCAGACGAAAGCAAAGCTAAAAAGCCTGGGACTCTCAAGAGGTGTCTAATTGTCTCATACCTTTGTTCCGCATTTGAATGCAATATCATGCAAAGCTCCAATAGGTGTTTCAGCCTGCGGATCAATTTGTCCAGATTCAAGGTCAAGATCTCTATTCGCTGAAGATGATCGAACCATGGAAGCTTCTTCACCTGAAAAAATGCAACTCCCAAAAAACAAATAAGAACAAAACGATGTTTCATTACATACATCAGATTATGAAATTACCCATAAAAGAATATAATAGCATATGATGGGTTTATGCCAAAATGTCAACAAAATGCATCAAAATCTTCCATACCACTCCACAAGAGCCTTACATAAGATTTATGGAAAACACCAAGGCCAAGTTAGCACCAATTTCAATAACCTTATGCTACACTGAATTTTAAGTCCGAGTTCAATCCCCTGTACCCTTTTTCCCAACAGGAAGAACCAATCCTGTTCATTTTCACATTTAGGACTTAAATACATCACAAGCATGTCCCAACATAAGCAGAGAAAAGTACATACACTTCATTGTTATTTATTTTTGAATTGCATGTACATCTGGGCACATCAGACATCCAAACGAATTATCCATTATAGTAAACCTATCCTGTTTAAATAACAATGAACTGGATGCTATAAACTATTAAAAGGTACAAGACCCTTCATATGATACAAATTCATAGAGGAAGAGGACAAGAGAGAGATCACAAATCCATTACTGCTGGTGGATCCAGATGGTTCGGCAACAGATGACCAAATATAAGATGAGAAATTAAAACTAGATGAAATCTTTTTTATTTGACAATCAAATTACCCTCGTCCAAAATGTCCTTATATTAATTCCTTTTACTTTCTCATTTCCCCCCAGAGAGAGAGACAAAGAATAAATCCGAAAATACAAACAGGCAATGCACAGATATCATGTCTTTGCCAGCAAAGTTCATAACTGGCCCATTAATAACCCAGAATCAAATAATTACAAAAGCTGCCATAGATAGGTTTCTAGTAAAAAATAAATTAAAAATTAAAAAAAAAAAAAAGAATCAGTAACAAACCATCATGCAAGTATTTCTGCCATTTAATGTGTGGATAGGCGGTTCACTCCTCCATAACTACTAGTAACAAATATCAAACTCTATGTATTCAAGAACCATTCAATTGCAAAATTTAACCAAAGCTTTGCCCACTCAATGAATCTGTTACTGAAGAGTCATAGTACAGGGATAAAAAATTATACTTCCCTTTCAAGTGCAACTTAAATATTTATGACCAGGGAGGACAGTATTAGCCAAATTTAAAAATTCAACCACCATATAACACAATTTTACTCACTAAAAATATCTATTGCACCCCCAAGTCTCAATCCAAGACATATGAAACTTCATAACTCGTGCAATTTAGAGCCTTCTTCTCCAATGATCAATGCTAGTGAAAGGACACATCATATGTATGTGCTATCTAAAACAGAATGGAATAATATGTATCAAGTATCGGGCAACAGAATTAGGAATTTTACACGCAGAATGAAGTCAGTTGTTCAAAACTTCATCAATTACTAAAAGTTGCTAACTTCTACTGACATTATCCATACTTTTGCAGACATAAGATGCATTTGCAAAATTCCATATTTATTAATTATAAGAGCTTAACTTCTATGCTAAGTGGGGTATTTTATAGAAAAAAAAATTATGAATAAGCCTCTAAGAGGATCTATTTCTAAAAATGTTAAGCATGTAAACAACATACTCATCCAAACAAAGTCTGCAATTCACTCTGCAAAATTACTTTGAGATGTCCCACATAATTGTGATTACAATACACAAGCACAGAAAATTCAAGGCTTACCAGAAAATGATGGGAAACTGGCAACTGGCTGGTTTAATCTCAAATTATCCTCTCTAGGAAGTGTCTGCACAAAGAAACTCCCACAACATCAGCACCATTCACATGACAGCTCAAACCCATGAATCATATTAAAAGAAGTATGAATTACCTCCTTCAGCATCCTCTGGTTTTCAAGAAAAGCTCTATCAGGTGGGACAGCACTCTCTGCTTTGTGGAGAAAAGGAGAGTGACTGGAACGGTGTTTTTCAATTTCCATAGGTTCTGAGCGCAGAGGGAAATCCTTTGGTGGTACAACTCTGTTAAGTTGTCTTGGACTCATCTCTTCATCAATTGGAAACCAACCACGTCCCTGAGCCCTCGGTGCAGAGACTTGTAATGGTGTGCGTACAGGAAACTGAGGTTCACTTGATGTGCGCTCCCTTGAGTCTTGACCATGCTGCAAAATGAGTAGTCTCCTCCTTGTATCAGGATCTAACTCTGATTCTGGGACTTCACCCTCTTCCCTAGCAGGAGAACTTTGCAAGCTTGCTTCTGGAGGAAGAATAGCTTGATTAATAGGATTTTTAAGGACAGAAGTCACTTGAGACAACTGCTGAGATGGAAAGGGAACCACTGGCCCTGACATCGTTGGTTGCAGCACAGAAATAGAAGAAGGTACAGCATATTGGACTGTGGCAACAATTTTTGGATCCAAATTTGGAATTGCCAAAGGAGCAGTGGAGGAAGCCGAAATTGCCTCCTAAATCATAAAATAATTAGTAGATCAATCACTAGCCTAACATAGATGGGAAACAGATTCAAGTGCATAAAAGTAGATATCATATACTCGGTAAAACCGAAAAATAACAGAGGAAACTCAACCAAACAATAAGCACTAGTAAAGAAACCAAATTTTGAGAAAAGCTCTCACCTTTAATCTTCTTTCCACCTCAACATCTGCCATGCCATCAAAACCAAGTGAATCCTTGTTTCCATTTGAAGCGGAAGGATCATCCTGAACAGCCAATGTTTGAGAAACACATCCAAAGTAATTTACTGCAAAATGACTGTTTAAAAAAGCAAGCAAGTGCATACTCTGATTGCACAAGTGTTTCAAGAGTATGGCCATCACTAACCTCTGAGATTAAATAGTTGCTCACATCAGGAGGAGAAGGAATTTCTTTAATATCATCTTCGTATGCAACTTCAGAAATTCGTTGCAAGAGACCCTCATCAAATTCTCTGCAACAAATAATCTCAGGTTAAAAAGCTTATGCAGACTGATAAATTAAAATCTGACTATGCTAAGAGTGGCCATTAATATGGTGCTTGTACTTCTCAACTCTAAAGAAGTTGCAAAACCTTACTTGAAGAAACCACCTCTGACATTGCACGCTACATTCCTTGCAACACAGAGAACTGGAATTGCATTGTTGGCCTACAGCACAAATTATTTAATCTTGGCATCATGATATCATTAGTTAACTTTAAACAAATAACAATAAGAAGCATAGATGAGGGTGATATTAAAGAATACAGTAGTTTCCAGTACATACTTCAGCTTGAGGAGCATAATAAGGAGCAAAGGCAGGAACCACATGCACTCGAGGTTGATCCTTTTCATCCCACACTTTTAACCGGTCATCAATCACCAATGCCATCTTAGGATGACAGTTTCCATGTTGGAAAACATTGAACAACGACTTCCTCAAGCCTAAACAGAAATGCTTATATACAGTTAATCCACCGAAAATATCGCAATCAAATGTAACCAAGAAAAACCTCATGGCAAGCTAAATAAAAGTGACATCTCTATGAAACTCACCAGACTTGACACAGACAATACGATCCAATAGCTCTTTCGGGTCAATCAAGTTTGAATCAGGATCAAGGAGCCGCCACATTTCTAAAGCATAGTCCCTTTCAGCCATTGTGCAAACATACACTTCAAAACGCTTTCGACCTCTTGCGGTTAAGTAGTTTCTGAGATCTTCCCATGCAGGCCTCAATCTTACAAGTACACTTGTATCACGGATCTGAGGTAATAGAAACATAAATATGAGCCCGAGTAAGAGAGTCCAACAAGCTAATTAAGTTGACCAGCAAAAGTCACAAGCCTCTAAGGTCTATGAACACTTCACCACACTCTTCTCCAACTCCCTCACCCAGCTAGGATACTATCCTATGCTCAGCAACAACAACTACAGCAAAACTACAAACTATGGATGGGCAGTAATTTGGCATAATGCTTAACCAAACAGCTACTTCATGATCAAAGTCAATATCTAATAAAGTTCAAATTATACAATAGAAATATAAACGCCACATGACATACTTGAGGATTAATGCGAGTAAGGATAATGTTCTTCTCCTGAAGCCTTAAAAGTGGGCGAACAATGGTCTGGTGATTGTCCGACAAAGCAAGAACAACCTCGGGCTGAGACTTGACAACCTTCCCGTTATCAACAACCTGGTCATTTTCTGCATATTGCTTCAGTATATTTTTGTCATCCTGATAACGCTTTATTTCTGCCAGCATAGCAGAAACACGTTGTTGATCAACCTCGGAGTTTATCTTCCGCTGTAAGGCTTCAATCCTATCCTCAAAAGAGCGCATTGTGTTGGCCACAATGAGTGTTTCATCAAGATCAAATACAATACCAAGACATCTAAGGTTCAGCATGACAAGGCAAGAATTGTAAAGTCGAGATGCAACAATGAATCCCCAAAAGCAAGGGAACTGTCCTTCATGCTGTCTAGAATGCATGGCAACCAAATGAAGTTCATCTTCCTCATCAAGTGGCATTATTGCAGTCTACAGAGACATATCAGAATTAACAGTGAGTGTAGGAAAGATCACAATAATTTGCCTTTCACAGACAATGAAATAACAAAACCAAGCTATACAATGCAAATTGTGCTCAAGACAAAATAATGCTAAAAGGAATAGAAGAAAAGCATTTAATTACAGTTAAATGCAAGGAGAAAAAGTCGCATGAGGATATTCACTCATTTATTATTTCTAACGTACAAAAACTTCAGATACAAAGAATTAGAGCCATATGGCATAAAACCCCATGTGCCCTTTCGGTGATAAGACTTCTGTGACAAAATCAGTTAAGTACAGATTAATGGCTTTGAAGTATTAATGATCAAAGTGTTGTTACATAATATAAGTCCAGAAACACATATGCAATCTAAAAGCCTCAGGAGGGAAAAGAACAACCCTGTTTAATAATATTTTATTCCCACTTTCAAACTTTATTATGGTTTCCCCAATCCATACAATCTGCAGCTTCCACAAAAGGAATATGCTTGGGGCCATATGCAGTAGCACATTCTAACAAAATAACTTTGATACAAGATCAAGGTTGAAAACTCTCCAAGAATCATTTTTGTTCCAATTTATTTCTAAGGAAAAAGAAATTGTTCATGCAGAATTTTCCGAGCACATGTATTTCAGTCGATACATCCAATCATGTCTGCAGAAGTACAACAACAGAGATCAGTTCAGGGTACACTCCAATTCATGTAAAATGGAAAGCCAGTTCTGGGTTCATTCAGTCCTATTCAACAAAACCACTGATAGAAATTTGAGGGTCCAGGTCCAATCCTGTCCAAAGTCCAGGTTCAAATCCAAAATTAGGGTTTCCACATATTTTACTCCGAAAATTAGGGTTTCGATTTCTCAACTTGAGGGAACATCGTTAACCCTTCAAATTAAGATTCACTCCTCTTTACCAACAACTTAAAGCAAGTCAGATTCTTCTTCTTTTTTTCTTTTCATTTAGTCTTCTAAAAAAACGTTAAAATTTTTATGGTTCCTTTAGTCCTCAGTGTACTAAAGAGAGAGACAGAGGTGAGAGCAGGAGAGAAAGCTGAGCTGAGTATTGAGTAATTATTGCCAGCTTCTGGCAGGTGGCAGGTTCTTTGTTCAATACCTTATTTTCCCTGAGACAAGTGGCGTGCAAAATGGAAAGCGGCGAATTCTGTTGAGACTTGTCTTTCAACTCCAGTTTGAAGCAAAGCCCGCCTGAGTCTGACGAAGAAGAAGTAACAGTATGCAGCACCGCCAGTGGCGGACACCTTTCACTTGGCTGAGAATACTCAGAGATCCGAATTTCGTCCCTGTCCCACACGACACCGTTCTGATCATCAATACTATACACTTCCACTTCCCCCAGTACTCTTTCCCCTTCTATCAAATTCACCACCCGCCGCCGCCATTATTTAAAAATAGAACCCCAAAAAATGAACAAATTATTCAAAGTATCAATTTGATGCCGATTTATCCGGATTCATCCAATGAGGTAGGGATTTGGCTTTCCTTCGCTTTGATTTTGTGGAAAAATCAAAAATCAAGTAAATCGGTCCCATTTTTTCATCTCAGTAGTGGTAATTCCTCTTGGAAGTTCAACGGTCCGATTTTTCCAGGTTTTTCAATCCAGAAAAGATAAAAAAAAAAAAAATTCCCAAGAAAGTATATATAATAATCAACTGGTAAAATTAGGGTTTCTTAGATCTGGTCGAACAAAAAAGGAGCTTGGTTTTCCTATGCTTTGCTTTTCTTCTGATTCTTGTTGGTGACGATGATGACGAAATTGTACTCGTTGATGACGTGTTCTCGTCCGACCGACGATGAAGTGAATTTTCGAAGAAATTTATGCATATGTAAATTTTGTGAATATTGATGATGACGATGATGACTTTCGCTTTTCGTACGACTTTTGCAAGTGTATATATATATATATATTTTTTACGAGGAAGAAAAGAAGAAACCCTAGATCCACACCAGGAATAATACTACTACTGGTGCCTGATGATGGGAAGAACAACTCAAAGTCTGCAGAACAGGAGAGGAGATGCGGCTCTGAAGAGGTGAGGAGAGAAGTTGATAATAAAAGGGATCTTTGGGGTCAAAATTGTACTTTTGTCTCTGCCTCTCTTTCTCTGCTTTTCTTGTCTGGTGCACGCATCTTTGTGTGGTGACGTCCCGAGGTACTGATAATAATGGTACAACTTCAAATTTTCGTAGATTCTGGATTTTACACGTTGATGCTTTTCTTACGCCACAAATGAAAGGTTCGGTTAATTCTTCAACGAGCTACGCATGACTTTTTGTTTACATCATTAATTGTCTTTCGTTTTATTATTAGCTTGTAAAGAAAATGCTTTTGTTATTTGTCATTGCTCTGAAAAAAATACTAGTACTAATTTGTAACCACAAAATAGTAGTTCTAGATAATAGCACTAGGGAAAATGATTAACTCTATTACACATGAGCCATCTAAGTAAGGTAAAAAGATGTTATACTTCACCATTTTTCTCATGGATAAAAAAAATTTTGAATGGGCTCCTCTCCGATCATCACCATGGATCAGTGCATGCTCCTCCGAGACTACAAATCATTTATAAGGATACAATGAGAAAATAACTAGTTCTCACCGACTAAGCCAACTTGTATTGGTCACTATTTTCTCTATTATATATTGGTGTTTACAGCATGGTGTCGTCTCGTGTTTAGTCAAATGTGTAGTATTTATTTATTTTTACTAATGATCTTACTGTATGTTTTAACACATGAAATGTAAAAGTGATCAAGTTTTGGAGGTTAAGCTCAAAAAAAAAATTATGGAGGTTTGATATGATAATATCTGTCAGCGATCATGTTAGAAGATGATTAATTCATATATATATCAACCATCACTCTAGGTAACATAAAAATGATGTATCACTTTCTCATGCTTTCTTTTCATGTGTTTGTATTTAGTGAATGGGTTTTTTTTTTTTTTTATCTCACGTACGTCATATCATAAAAATGTATTATTTAAAAAGTTTTATGAATAATCTCACATCCACACACACGCGATTTTAACTCACATGAAAATCAAGTGGTCAAAGTTATGGAAATAGTTAGTCATCACACCATATTTGCGTAACGTTCCAAAAGGTATGGAGTAATGACATGTATTTGATTGATAAGGTTCCTCACGCGTTTAGTGCTTTTACTAAGATAATCTCGATGATAATGGAAAAATCTAATGTACAACAAAATGGGGTTTATTTTGTGAGATTTTGTTGATTTGGATGGTAGGTCATCTGTGTATTTTATGAGCCATAATGGGTATTTTCTTCTTCATTTTTTTTTTAACTTTCCTCACTCCCCTATTCCCTCCCTATCTCAAACTTGTCAACCAGAATTTGAACCAAATTCCCTCTCTCTCTCAGCCGGAATTTGAACCTTGTTCTATGAGGAGAGAGTTCAACTCTTTGACCATTATAATGATTTTCTTTGTTAAATTTGAATGATCTTGTTGATTTGGATGGTAACTTATTTATTTATCATAAATTTATAATTGATTTTCTTTGTTAAATCTGAAAGATCCAGTTGATTTGGATGATAACTTGTTTTTGTATTCATGAATTTATAATGACTTTCATGCCCTTACAAATCCCCTCTAAAAAGTTATCATTTAATTATTTTACGGAAATCATGTTAGAAACCTTCCTTGAAATTTTTGAAAATTTTTTTTTTTTTTGAATGTGCTAAGATACTCGAGTAATTAATTTAGTTCATATCAATGAGCATGACACTAAAATTTAACAAAGTTGCTAAAAACTATTACCATACTCAACTTGAAAAAGGGCATATAAACCCTTGGAGGAGAGAGAGAGAGAACTTCACCTTGATTGTAAAACATATCTTGTAGCAAGACGATGTTAGGAATTAGAAACACCTTTCCACAATTTCTATCTATGCATTTATTTCACTTTTCGTTGGAGTTTTTTTTTTTTTTTTTTAAAGTGAGAGGTTTTAAATTCAAAACTTTTTTACTTACAATCACTCTTACCTCATTTTCCAATCCAACCCTTCCTTGATGAAGGGGGTTGATATCGTAATTACACTTGTTTGGATGTTGGATTATTTTACAAAATTTTATTTGTTTGCATTATCAACACATTTTTCAATCACTTTTTTATGTCATATACATCACATCAAAAAATTATCATGCTATTATTTTAAATTATCCAAATAATTTGCTATCCAAACATACTTAAGTGGAATGGTAAAAAATGCTCGCTCAAAAGAAAAAAAAAGAAAAAAGTCAGAAGGCTTTAGGGAGATTGTTGGACACTTGTCAATTGATGGTTGGCAACTGCATGGAGTAGCGGTTGGATTTGGAATTGGACACACCATACCGACCCCCCTTCCCATCGGCTTCACGAATTAAACGCAACCAATCCCTTCTAATTAGGGTTAATTACATTTTTCTAATTGAGTTTATTTTATTGATAGCTTTTTGTCTCCCGAACAAAAACTGTCAATGTTGACAATTTCCTTACTCGTCTAGAATTGTAACATAAATAAACTGCCTAACTATTATGTTGGGACTAAATTGCCTAAACATTTCCCTTTTTTATTTACAAGAAAATTGCCATTGTGGCTTGCATCTGTACCTTAAGATGACTTCAATCAATCTAATTAATTCTTCTTTCTTGAATAGAAATGTAGAATGCTATATTTTCAATTTTTTTTAAAAAAAAAAGACAAAAAGAAAAAAGAACACAATGGCATTGCTTTGATGTGGTACCTTCCCATTTAGACATAAGCATTTGTGTTACTTTCCACGTTTAATTTCATCCTGCTTAATTAGTCGGTGTCTAGAGATAACTTAACCATTGCTCTAACTACTTAATTAGTCACTTGCTTATAGTCAAAAATACATGATGCGGATTGTAGTTAAACTGTTAAACATAGGGCAGCTGGTCATGCCCAAAATGCCAAGGGTCCGTTTGGATTGAGTGTTTTTGCACCTGTTTTTGAAAAACTGTTTTTCATATTTCAAATGCTACAGTAAATGTGTATTTCAAAAACACCATATCCAAACAATATATAAAAACAACTCCAAATATATTTCAATTATGTATATTTAATTTGTATATTTAATAAGTATATTTCAATTTGTATATTTTAATTATGTATTTTAATATGTATATTTCAATTATATTTTAATATATTTTAATATATATTTCAATTATGTATATATATATTTATATTAATATAAATATATTTATTTCAATTATGTATAATATTATACATATTATATCAATTGAAATAAATATTATATATTTATATAAATACATTTATTTATATATAAATTTATAAATATATTTATTCAATTTTGTTTTATAATATATATTAATATATATGAATATGTATATTTCAATTATGTATATTATACATAAATTATATTAATATTAATGTATATTATATATATTATACATTTCTAATATTATATATTTATACATACATATTTAAATATTTTATTTTATTTATAATATGTTTTTATATATTTATAATATATTTACATAAATATTATATGTTATATAAATTATATATAATATATATATAATATTATTATGCATTTATATAAATGTACATTTATATATAATATATAAATATTTATGTATATTTATAATATACATTTATATTATGTATAATATATAATATAATACATTTATACACTTATATTAATATACATAATATTAATTTTACATTTATACATAATATTAATACATGTATACATTTATATTAATTATATTAATACATTTCTACAGAATATTAATATATATTTATAATATATTAATTTATACATTTATATAATATTCATTTATAATTTATACATTTTTAATAATATACACTTATACATTTAAATATACATTTATATTATGTATTATATATAATATAATACATTTATACATTTATATTAATATACATAATATTAATTTTACATTTATACATAATATTAATACATATATACATTTATATTAATTATATAAATACATTTCTACATAATATTAATATATATTTATAATATATTAATTTATACATTTATAATATTCATTTATAATTTATACACTTATAATAATATACACTTATACATTTATAAATATATTTATATTATGTATTATATATAATATAATACATTTATATATTTTTATATGAATATATAAATATATTTATTTTAAATATCTATAAATGTATTATAAATGCATAAATGTATATTTATATAAAAATATAAAATTTATAATTTATACATTTATATAATATTCATTATAATTTATACATTTATAATAATATACATTTATACATTTGTAAATATAAATGTATTATAAATGCATAAATGTATATTTATATAAAAATATAAAAATTATA